TTGTGTTGTTTAACAACCCCGTTGGGCGTTATATCCGGAGCCATATACATGTGAATTGCTTTTTAGGTGTGTGCCGAACTCGACATCCATGGCTTGCTACATTTTTAGTTAAAAATAAGATCTGTTGATATTAAAGAGAGCAATAAAGGAGGGGGATACGATATGAGAAGTCGCCAAGGCTCTCTATATATAATCCATTTTGAGTGAGGGGTGATCACGGAATTGTAGTTAGATACCGTTGGGGCGTGCAGCGCTGTGGGCTGTTGCAGGTGAAGGCCATAGTGGTGCTGAAGCTTAGAAGGCGACGATACAGCATGGTAAGTTACGAGAAGGGAGTAATGTCAGCGAAGGGCAAGAGAAGGAAGACCGACATCTTCCGCATCAGACGTTCACATCATCCTCATCCGGATCCGCGCCATACGTGACCTTGGTAGGTTCAAACACCCATGTTACGGGCTGGTTCGTTACACCCGTAGTCGTAGACACATCACGACAAGGCTGCAGGCGCAAATGACTGCTGGCACACCGTCCGTCTCTTGCTCAACGTTTAGAGTGACCTAATGACACACCCAGTCTCGGCTGCGCCCACACCGGGAATTAATCTCGGGCGGACCAACCAATCACTGGCTTACTCACACAAGACTTCAAGACGGGGGCTGCCGCCTGACATCACTCCGGATTCCGCCGCGTTGGTCGCTGCGATGACGCCGCGCTCTCACATGACCCTCACGGTCGAACGCCATGTCAGATCGAGTGGCAACTTCCTCCAATTGATTCCGCAAAGAATATATCTTTCCTACTAGTCTGGCCTTTCCGAGATCTCTCTCTTCACTTCGGGAAATGAACCTGGAAGATCGCAGCCGTTAGGGTTTACCTTCTTAGCCTAAACACATCAGTGTAAAGTCACTATTCGTTATAAGTATAAGTGATCATATTTTGACTAAATAATTTCGATTTGTTCTGGTTTATGTGGTTAAGCCTGTATACATATATGTAACGAGGTGTTAGGCGGCATTTTGTATAAAATGCACAACAATGCGTCGAAAAGGAATGTTCTTAATGGTTTTTAAAGATACTTATGTTGATTCAGACTCCGTTTATTGAAC